CTATCGGTACATAAGGAAGATCTGCGATTTCCTTCAGAAAATGATCCTTTTGATGCGATAGTTTTTTACCCAAATTGCATTCTCAACAGTTTTGCATTTGTTTGATGGTAGAGTTCCACTCGGCGCTGCCTTCGTAGAATTGTAGCCGTACAATCATGGCTCATGTGTTTTTGCATAATTCGGTATTTAGAGCGAGGTGCGGATTTTAGAAGAAAACTGTGGAATTGAGCACGAAAAAAATGTGTGTGTTGTGAGTTGTGTATGTGTCTCTTCGACTCATTTGTGATTTTGTAGAAATTAAGCTGAAATCTTGACCCAACTTTGAGCTCTCCTTTCGAGAAGCCAAAGAACAAGATGGCGTGTTGTCGGAAAAAACCGGCACGCGCGCAACACCGATTGATCGGCGCATTTCAATCGCATCGGCAAATTTCCTGTCTCTAGCCAAATTCTTTGATACTTTCTACTGTTTATGCTCTCTTATATTAGGTTGTTTCAAAAGTAATTTCGCTTTTTTCAAACGGACGCCACATTTGATGGAACAAAGGTTTATAAGAGATCTTGGAAGCATTCGATGCAGAATTTCATTCTCTTTCCAAAGGTTATGAAATTTTTGCAAAACAGTTAATGAGCTTTCAGAAAATCACCAAAATCTGCGACCCATACTTTTTGAGATGGTCAAGTTTCACGATTTTTCAAGACTTTCATATCAATCCTCAGAAGGAGTTTAAGTAACGTTTCGATAGAGTAAACCTCACAGAATACAGCATTACTTTTTTCTCATTCTCGTAGCTCGCCGTAATTTTTAAAAGATTTTCTAACAGAACCATCGGATTTTGGCAGGCCCACCTCAGCCACAATCGCATCAAACATCATAAATTTTCGGAATTTGAGACTACCAAGATGGTGCTTTGAGTTAGCATTAATTTTACAAAGCAAGTGAAGGTTTACGGGTTTGAAATATCAAATTTCGAGTTTTTCGGGTACAGCCTGGGGCTCGTTAAAAAAATGAGTTATGATGATTTCTCCCCGGAAACTAAACGAATCAAAAACAAAAAACATCTGTTAGAAAGAGGAGAAAATGCTGCATCGAATAGAGCGCGAGCTGCTCTTCTGTTGATGTTCTACGAGGATTTAGCTGTCCCAGTATGGAAATCGGTACCATCAGTAAAAATTCTGTTAAAAATGTATGACAAGCTATGGAGAGGACAAAAAAGTAGTGCTATATTCTATAAGGTTTACTCTATGGAATCGTCACTTCAACTCCTTCCGAGGATCGATATGAAAGTTTTGAAAAATCGTGAAACTTGACCATGTCAAAAAGCATAAGTCGCAGATTTTGGTTATTTTCTGAAAGCTCATTGATTGTTTTGCAACAATTTCATAATCTTTGGAAAGAGAATGAAATTCTGCATCGAATGCTTCCAAGATCTCTTAAAAATCTTTGTTCCATCAAATGTGGCGCCCGTTTGAAAAAAGCGAAATTACTTTTGAAACGACCTAATACTTTTTTTAGAGGCAGTGTCCCGGCGAAATTTCGCTCTTTGGTTCTTCATCTCTTCGGAGCCTTCTCGCCATGCTGAAGTCATATTCGAGCCTTTCAGCACTTAGAATAGGCAAAAATGACTTTTCTCGAAGCTCCGTGTCTGAGTTCGCTCTAAGCTACGTGTAAGAAGTGGGCGGAGTCCGGCAAACTTTCGGAGCGAATTTTGGGCTTTTCAGAAACGCTTTTTCGCTCTAGACTTCATAAAGACTATCTGGAGGGTCTAACATTGGAACACTATGCCCGGTACCCATCATTTCGAGAGGACGCTGCCTTTAAAGGTAGTGTCCAGGCAAACCTGGGCGTATGGGTTTCTTGCATGGAAACTGTCAAGGGGGTCTTAGTTAAGGCATTGCCCAAACGGCATCGCAAATCATTCATTCACGGCTGAGAAATCCATCCCTAAACACCCCGCGGCTGCGCCGTGACCGTAACACTAAGGATGGGTCCCAGCGCGAAGGTAGTGTTAAACTGAGCGAAATCGTTTTCGGGTCATGGTCACGGCGCAGGTGGATTTTCGGCGACGGATTTCTCAGCCTGAGCGATTTGCGCTGCCCTTGGGCAGTGCCTTTGTTATGGCTCCCTCATCAATTTCTAGGCAAAAAACCCATGCGCTCAGACTTGCCTGGACACTGCCTTTAAGCTGGATCAGGGCTCGGCACAGCTGGCAACGGGTCACGCTGGATATCGTTTTTAGGGCGGAAAGCAAAGGGGATATCCTTTTTTCGGGGTCCGCGGCGGAGAAGTGCCGCAAGAATGCCGCCGGCATGCCACCGGCAAGCTGTCCATCAACAAACAAAGGCCTCGTTCTCAGCCAAAATGCAATAGTATGACACCAAATTTGGGGTGTGCATGCGCGTTGTGTGACCGGAACTATAGCCCAAAAATTTACGAAAACTTATGTGAATGAAAGCTGTGCCGAACTTTTTTCTAAAATTAGCTGGCACCGTGCCAGCTGGGTGCCAGCTGAGCTAGCACCGACACTTTGCTCACATAAGTTTTCATACTTTTTTACATAAAATGTTTCTACACTGTAAAAGTTTACACACAGAGAAGAAACATTTTCATAACGTCTTTCCAGCGTTTTATAGCAAATTTATCAGGTTGTCCCATAAGTTCCGTCCGTTTCAATTTTCAATCGCAATAAGTCATGAACTTCTTGGTTTTAGACAGATTCCAAGGTACCATTTGATAGAGCAAAGCAAGCTCTACAAGATAACTTTCTTGCTTTCGCACCAGTTTAAATCCATCTCAAGTTTGAAGCCAAAAACCAAAAAGATCCAACCGCCCGAAAAATAAAGAAAAAATCGTAACTCCGTTTAGAAAAATCCTAGAAAATTCCTAACTTGCTCACAGATACCCTATCCACATCAGACGTTTATATATACTGTTGCTGTATTTTTTACTTAAATAGAAATCGAGAAAACGAAAATTTTCGTTTTTTCGATTTCTATCTAAGTAAAAAATACAGCAACAGTATATATAAACGTCTGATGTGGATAGGGTATCTGTGAGCAAGTTAGAAATTTTCTAGGATTTTTCTAAACGAAGTTACGACTTTTTCTTTATTTTTCGGGCGGTTGGATCTTTTTGGTTTTTGGCTTCGAACTTGAGATGGATTCAAACTAGTGCGAAAGCAAGAGAGTTATCTTGTAGAGCTTGCTTTGCTCTATCAAATGGTACCTTGACGCCTGTCTAAAACCAAGAAGTTCATGACTTATTGTGATTGAAAGTTGAAACGGACGGAACTTATGGGACAACCTGATAAAATTACTCATTCAGCTCCGCAATCGAAAAATCGGCTTCTTCTGCTTCTCAAGATGTGATTCAACCACATAAAAAGCTCAGAAATTTGTGAAAAGTGGTTCCATAAAATCAGCAAGCATGAAAACCCTACTACATAGTTTTACAAAATCCAAAAATAATGACTTGTCTTCAAAACTGGTCAAAGGGGACTTCGTACGAAATTTACAAGATCAAACGGGACTTCGTTTCGGAATTTCCCTGGTGCCAGCTCGTGCCGAACCCTGAGCTGGATTGTGATAGATGGGTATGCCCGCCAATCTGCAGCAAATTGCAAGCATAATGAATGTTGAGAACTGTTTCTGTTAACTATCGCATAATTATTTGCTGCATATATCGTGATTGTAAATGTGCATTTTGTACCTTGTTCTTGGGTATCGTTACGTGTGGCCGTCAATTGAAAAACATCGTGCGCGACAGGCTACCAGTCACGCACTCGGGGAATTCTGCCAGCATGATTCGCAGCACACATTTCAGATAGTTTGTTAAGGTACACTGGCTATTTCGAGTTTGCCACAAAACTTATAAGATTAGCCCTTTAGACGATAAAAAGACACAAACTCAAGAATGTAGAAGACTGATAATAAAAAGCACTGGTAAACTAGGAGTATAAATCTGACAAGTTTTCTGCACTACTGCTACCCGCGCGCGATTATCGTAGCGTCGTATTTTTTCGTCTTACTGTTGCTGAACAAAAAATTAATCAACTCTGAAATCTCCTCCAAAATTTCTATTTAAATGTAATTTTTTCCTTTGAAACGTTATGCCTCCGTTTTTCTGAGGTGCTGTCAATCAAAGACAGTGCTTTATCTAATAATGTTAATTAAAGGGCAGCCAACATGAACGTTAGCTTTTGTCGCTGTATGCGTTGTGTAGGTCAAATCTTTCTGCCTATTTTCACGTTATGATGGTATTGAAGAATTTGGAAAAAACGCTGAGGGCTCGCTAAGCCCTAATTCTTACTGTAAGACACCATTTTCAATCCAGTGAAATACATATCGCTCCAAAAAATAAGACTTTATGGCTGCGTTCATACTGATTTCGAAATCCGGGAATAGTTCAAGTACAGCGCTCGAACTGAGCCCTGTGCTGGAACTGTTCCCGGATTTCGAAATCAGTATGAACGCGGGTTATGCGCGGCATACTGACAACAGCAGGACTACAGTATGCTTATTTCCAACTATCCTTTATCTTGGCATACTCCCACGTTACTTTTGCTGCAATTTCACATAATGTCGTTTCCTTCCTGTAAAATTCCTTCGCTTTAATGCATTAGTTCATTTAAAAACCAATGTCATCGTCTATTTTTTTAGATGGTCGTAATTTCTTTCATACCCGCATTTGCGTATGTTTCTGTAAATCTGAAAAAAGCTAGTTTCAAGCTGTTGCAGGTAAGTAATCAACTAAAACATTTTTAAAAATTTTTCTGTTTTCAGTCGGACTCATATTCTCAGGAACATCATGAGAATGTGTAAGGCGATGGTTGCGTTCATTAAAAATGAGATGAGAGTTCCCTTGAAACGTTTCTTTCTCTTTTTCTTTCTTTCGTTCATTTTTTAGTCCTTAGCCAGACCTCCTCTGATGCGACGGCCGCACTTCTCCATCGCGCTTTTGTTGGTTCACCCCGCCCTGATGGGACGTTTCATCCTCAACCGTCATGCTCATATTCCTTTCTAGTCGCCGAAGACTTCTTCTTCCCAATCCGTTGTTCGCTCTCTCGCAAGTAATTATCAAGGTTTTCGATGAACACGAAGTATTCAGGAAATTGTCTAAAGGAATCGGATTAGCAGTAAATGTATCACATGGATCCTTTGCTGATCCCACAATGTTCCTAGCCAAGATAACTGGAGACTTCCTGGATTCCGACGAGGTAAGTATTTCAAACATAATCTGCGGTTTTTATATTGGTGTTCACCAGTACAAAACTTGATAGGCTCGTTCCAATCCTGTCGTTCCCGCTATGGCATTGGCTAAGCTGTTCGCGAGCGTAATCCGCACAATTTAAGGGAAACGTGTTTTCAAGCGCTTCCTGTCACATTTAGTAGTGGACCTGGGGGCGATATGTATTTGAATAGGGGTTCCTTTCCTCGTCCTGAGAGTTATAAGACAGACGGTCGTACTATCATAGCACAATTGAAGACCTCTCGAAAATACGAAAGTCAGAGTGGATAGTACGCCCGCAAGTGCAATTTTTGCTCAGTCAAGAAAACTCCAGCGGTGGCCTGTGGAGTTTCCAAAAGGACAGTGAGCGAGTTTGGAAGCGTATTCAAACGGCTGCCCTGCCCAGGAAGAGCTCGAAGTAACGCGCAAACAAAGACGAGAACAGGCGCTGAAGAGGTCTAGAGTGGTTTGAGGCGAGCGAATAAGGGAGCTTATACATCAAAAACTGAGAAATGAAGAGGAGGTGACCGTCGCCAACTCCACGCAGACTTGCGCTCAGCTTATGAAAATTTCAAGGTGTCACGCACAACGCTCCATCGTCTCATAAAAGCACTCGGCTTTTTATAGATGAAGAACACTGGGGTGAGATTTATTTTTGAAACACAGTATCTCGTTCCGAAAGCGCAAAAAATACCTGCGCTTAGTGGCAGAGGCTAGAGAAAAAGAGGAACGCCCTATCAAGATGGATGAACCTGATGGGGGCATAGTCAAGAAAAGGAGGAACGGTAAGAAAACTCCGCGATTTGCTTATTGAGAAGTGCTGGAGCGTTATTCTTTTGGAAGGACGGCGGGAAAACAAGGGGCATCGCGCGATCGTGATAGCTGCACTTGGAGAGAATGGTGTGTTTTAGGTTGGTCCAAAATATTCTTGAGTGGCCGTAGAGCGGGTGATATTGATTACCATTAGGATATGGATCACAATGGTTTTGAAGGGTGGTTGAGGGATTCGATCCCTCACATGCTGACGTGGGCCTGCGTGCACGTGTTAGTATGATTATGGGCAATGATCCATACCACTCCAGGCAGCTTGAAAGCGTGCCTACATCGAGGTGGAGCAAGGCGTTTATCATAGACTGCCTGGATTCAGAAGGTGCACGTGGAGCAAAGCTGAGATTGTGGAAGAGGAGATTCTAATTATTAGCCAAGTAGCAACGCTTGTAGATTTTCGTTCGGTTGAACAATTTGTAAGCTCAAATTAGAGTGGACATTTCACGCCTTTATAACTTTGAGCAAATATACGCGGAGTTTAGATTAACCTCATTCGATTTCCGCCGTTCTACTGCTGTTTGGATCTAGTGGAAAAATGCTGGTCCCAACTAAAGGCACATTCAAGGAAATATGGGAGATAAAATGGTAGGATCAAAGAGGTAGGGGCATACTTAGTTGCATGTTGTAAAAGTAGGCAACCTCTTCATATTCGCTTAGGTGAGAAGGAGGGCATTGACGTGGATAGAACGGATTCCAATGAGCCGGACGCGCGCCTGGTTCCGCCATATTCGAAGAAAAGAATGAAGCGCGAGATTAGCTCATTGAAGAGACAAAAAAGGTTCTTTTTCTTCGTCTGAATCGATGTCCATTTCAGATGACTCTTCTGTGGAATCAAGCGAATTCGAAAGTATCTCAGGAGAAAACGACCTCGCAGACAATCCTGATCCTAATTTATGATGTATATGATGAGTGTGGTAAAGACTGACATCAGTTTTTGGCGAAAATCTTATTGTGACAGTCTGGATAGTGAACTACATGTCGCCGAATGTGGGAGGGTCCCGCGCGGACTTTTTGCTGAAGCGCACCACCGTGCATGCACAAGGGTGCATTTTCGTTGCAAATGATCGCTGGGACCGCTCCCTTTCGGGGACATATAGTACCTTGCACAGTCTTTTCGGGGACATATAGTACCTCGCACAGTCTGAGTTATATAATAGCATAGGATGCGAGAAGGGAAGAGAGGGAGCGTGAAAAAAATTTGATTGTCAGGAATGTGATAAAGCACTCGCCTTGCAAATGATTTTTCAGAAAATAAGAAAAACGTAGGTAAAAATTACATGCAAAACCAAAAAACTCATCAAAATTCAACAACATAGCTACATATGTACAGTAGAACGTCAATTAATTCGTGCAACTTGTGACGAACCAAACGGCTGTGGGATTGGGTGGAAATAAAAGAGACCTCACGTATCTTTATCGGCCCAAATAGCTGGAGATTCCATATGTCAAAATCAGCTTAAAAGAGTGTGGCTGCCTATCCTTCAAGATCGTCCTCTTTCACCAACGGAACATGTTGAGAGGGGTCTAGATGCGTAAATGACATTAAGCCACTCTAAAAATTTTCATGAGAGAAAATATAACGAAAAATCTTGATCAAGGGTGCTAGAACTGATGTGATTCACAACAATCGGAACAGCCAGCAACCTTGTTATACATCCAGCAATTGTGGTTAATGACAGCTAAAAGGAACTATGATAGTGCAGACAAAATAGTATGGTAGTAATATAAAAGTACTGAAATTATGGTGAAATAGTATGGTAATAGTATAAAATAGTACATAAAATAGTAGTTAGATACTCTACCAATCATGAAATCAAATGCTGAACGCAGTGATTTGTTCGTGGCTCTCCTCTAAAATAGGATGAACTTCGCCAAACCTATGGAAAAATAACCCACTAGAATATTTGGTAATTTCTCGACTGGGAAGTGATTCATAAGACAATCCAGCATTCGTTTACAGTTCCCAAGCATTTAGAAGGTTCAAGATTGAGAAGCTGTCCATCACTAGCAACATCACAACTATTTTGATATTCCGATAGAGAAGTTTGAGAGAAAGATTTAGCTGTCTCAATCATTACCAGAGCGGCCCAAATATACCAGTTTGTCAAGCAAACCGTCCCATGAACACAACATTTTCAAACAATTCAACGACCAGAACGTGAGCAAACTGACTAAGGTCCCCAAGCAAGGTCACCTCAGCAAACTACATTTGGCACACGTTTTGGAATCGAAAAGTAGCACTGGAACAAATGCTTCATAATTTTGATTGTCTGAAAGTGACTTTGTTCATCCTAATAGATCGCTATAGATGAAAAAGTCCGTAGCAAAAATCATAGCTGAAGCAGACACAGTCTTTAACTTGGCAGAATGGGAAAAAATTGGGAGAAAAAAATGACTTGATTTTTGCTAGCCGACATAACACCAGAGTTATACTCGCTCAGATTTCAGTGTCAGAATCGGCTATTTCAAGTGTTGTGCCTGTCAGACCAGTTACAGACTGGAACAACGTCGACAGCGAACTGAAACAAATTAGAACCATTTTGAAAGTATTTACGTAGATACTTTTAAAATTCTTTTTTTTATGCTGAATGATTCCACAGTGTTCTTTTGATATCCGCACCTTGCTCTAAATACCGAATTATGCAAAAATACATGAGCCATGATTGTACGGCTGCAATTCTACGACGGCAGCGCCAAGTGGAACTCTACCATCAAAGAAATACAAAACTGTTCAAATACAATTTGGGTGAAAAACTATCGTATCAGAAGGATCATTTTCTGAAGGAAATCGCAGATCTTCCTTATATACCGATAGAGTTCCTCAAGTAAAATGCTAAGAGCATCAAAAAAAATGGTAATTTTGATGTGTAAACACTCTATATTTATAAAGCAAATTTATTCTGCTTTTTATGAGCGGGTGCTCAATCCTATATGTAACTCCTTAAAAAATACGTGAGATAAATATACCATTGGAAGAATCGGCATGGGCAAAATATCATTGAAAGAATAAGAGGTTCGTGTCTGGTCGACTCCACTTGTTGACTGAACTGCTCGCTGAATTGCTGTACAGTACAGATGCATGAAGTTTTTGATTCTTCGAGCTTGGAGTTCAACCTTTTCAACATCTAAAAATCTCAAAATGTTTGCAAAAAAAAACCAATCAGTCAAATGTTATAAAAATTTGATAGTACCCGGGAGAAAACCGGACTGGAAAGATAAAGAGATAAATGAGTGAACAAATTCTCCATGCAAAGCAATAAGAATGTACACGAAACAAATATGAAAAACTTGCAAATGTACAACGAAATAAAGCGGAAGGGAACAATCATTCAGAGCGGGCTGAGTTCATTTCAACTTCTTCTCGACGATTCCTTTTAAATCCGATCACTTTTTATTAGCCACCAAATCTAACGTCGCTTTCTCTTCTGGTGGTTAGTGGTATTTTCTGAAAGGATGCAATACTGAAACAAATTTTTTCACTAAAGAGTGCAGAGCGGTACACTAACTTAAGCTCCGTTGCAGTAATGCAGTTGATAGGATGATGAATTAGATACGTTATTACATTTTTGGGAATGTGCAATGAGCAAGTTGAGATTTCTTCTCAGCTGCTGCTAGCATTAACAAATCATCATGAAGGCACCGTCATCGTAAAAAAACAAAAAGCTCAGCAAAGGAGTGCGAGTTTCAATGCGGCAAAGTTAACTATAGCGGAGAAAATTTTTTCGCAGGAGCTGTCGTAGAACTTCGACGTCGAAAGAGCAAAACTTTCAAGAAATGCTAGAAAGAGAAAAGCTGGTGATGCGATCGAATTGCGCCAAGCAAACGGCGTCGCGTGCATGGGCGCGGTGGTTCATAGGTGCTCAATTCTGGGAGATCGACGATGATTTAGATGCACTGCTAAGAAGTCAAAATTTGCGATAGTTGTCTATCTCCGTCCGGAATGTCATTTTCTTCTCAAAAACTATGCTGAATTAAGGCAAAAAAATCGTTGTCGAAATGCTATTGTGCAGATTGAGTTCCGAAAATCTTCGCGAAGCATAGGGTTTGCTATATCTCATATGCTTGCTGGTTTTACAGAATAGAATAGGTGTACGGAGCGTTTCTTGGGTCTTATTCCAATTTCGCGTAAGCAAGATTTGGTGTCCATTTGAACAAGGAAAAAAAACCTTTGGGGTGACCTGGTATAAGTGTTTAGATAACAACAGGTATTAGAAATTTCCCCGTATGGGGGAAGGGATGGTAAGAGAAGTTTTTTTTTTGAGAAAAGGCTGTCGCATTTGAAGAAGCTTACGTTGTACATACAGCTATTATAGTGGTACTTTTTGAACTCTCTCGCTATCAAAAACTGCCACGCTTTGCTCATCTGCGCATCTATACTGTTTGGGAGCCGATGATGTGTTCAGTAACATTATAGTATGGAACTGTAAGGAAATAGCAGCGTAACTTGTCCCTTCAGCATCCTCAACAGGTGGCCAAACACTTCAGTCGACCATACGCTTCGCTCGAAAGATCACCTCGGCCTTGCGCGGGAAAATCAAACGGAGTTTTATTGTAAGGAAAATGAAATAATAGGCTTGTTTGCAACGCATACGCAATGATATTTCCCCAAATTATGAGTAGTTAGTTAATAGGAAGTACAAACAATGTACGAAAAATAATGAAATATGAGTCAAAGAGTGATGTGAAAACAATTACAACTCTTTGTGATGTCAAAGAGTTGTAATTGTTTTTCGAAATTAGGCTGCTCTCGCTCAACCTGGAACCTGCTTACCGCCACATAATTTTTCAGATAACTTCACATAAATGTGGTTTATGTCAAAGGTGTTGTTATAAATATAATTCCTTTATATACAAAAGTTGGAAACGCTTTGAGTGCTAAACCACAGGAGTTTGGTGTTAAAAAGCGATCGTTGCGGGAGCCTGGATACCGTATCTTTCGACAACATTGAAATTTCATGTTTTTTTATTCTTTTTTAGGAATTTGCGATTTTGGTTTTTTTAGCATTTGCATCGCTCTTCTCTCCATGGTTTAACACTTGAAGCATTTCCATTTTTTGTATATAAAGGATGTAAAGGATTTCATTCACAGTAACGTACCCCGCTCATACGCTATTAGGCCCATCTGAAAAGTATAATCCTGTCGTGCAGGCGTACATGACTATGTATGAAGTTTACCTTGAAGAAATGAAGACAGGGCGGTTGAAGAATTCGGAAGATGCTCTTAAGGTGTATATGAATTTGAAACAGAGGAGGGATATACCGCCATCGTTAACCCGAAACATTCATGCAGGTAAAATGAACGTTTCTGTTTTTGAGAATCAGATCGCTGCCATCTATGTGAGTAAAGATGGGGGAATATTAACGCATGAGGAGTTGGATTAAGGCCTACTGATTGAGTCCCGAGGTGGTAATACTATAGTTCCTCACCAAAGTTGCAATATCGTTGCTCTCACATACCCATTTCTTCCTCTGTGGAACAGACATTCGTTGTAGAAAAAGTGCCAAAACAAACGAAAATAAGTAAGTTCATTAGCTTAAGTCGAAGAACATAATGAGGAATTTGTCAACGAGTTGCAAGAGTTTATCGAGGACGTTGAAGTGGCAGAAAACTTAGGATTAAGAGAGTGTGCTACCGCACGATTCGTTTCGCGTAGGGAGTTCGCTTTGTATATACTTGCTCGTCGAGGGGACGTAAAAAGGCATCGCATCATCGGTATTGAAAGTTGTATTCGCATGTTTCACATACATATGTTCGAATTAAAGCTGATCGCTTATGCGCAAATGGATTGCATAGAACTGAAGTTAGGACTTATACCATGAGCTTCCTTTTTAAGTGCTTGAATGGAAAACTCAATGAAAATGAGTGAACTAGGCAAATTAGTAGATTTGCCTCGAGATTTTGTTGAGAGACAGAAATGGTACCAGAAGTTGTATAGCGATGCGATGGCAGTTGCTCAGCGATTGGGAAAGCCACTTTTTGTGACGTTCAGGGGGAGTCAAGATTGGCCGGAAATCAAAAATAATATGCCCGAAAAGTTTGGCTCGTGGATTACAGAGCCTTTTCTTTATAGCTGTCGCGTTTTCTTTTTACGACTGAGCGAGCTTATGAATGACATTGAGAAGAAGTAGATTTTCCGGGAAGGTAATAGCTTCAACTGGAAGTATTGAATTTCAGGAAAGGGGTATGCCTGATGCTCATCTCCTTATTACATTAGCCAACAAACTTGATACGCCAGAAAATCAATGCGATTTTCTTAGCGGAAATCCCGGAGTTTCCAAGTTTTGAAGACCTTTATAAGGAGGAGAAGCTGTTGCTGCACAATCTGTTGAGGAAGCACATGATACATGGCTTATGTTCTGAGCGGCCAGATCCTGCATGTCTTGATGGGAATGCTTCTGAATGTGCGCGTGGATATCCTAAAAGTTTCCGGAATACTACAGAGTACACTGGTGGCTGTCCCTTGTATCGCAGGAGGAATGGCAGAAGAGTAATCCGTGTAGGGACGCTAGAAAGGATTTTGGCCTCAAACGTGAAGGAAGTGTCTACGAGTCGGTATTTCTTGATGGAACATCAGTGCCATGTTAATGTAGAGGTTTGCTCTCCCATCCAAGCTTACAAGTAGATCTTCGAATATGTATCCAAAGGACCGGATGCAGTTGTTTCAGAACTTTTAGATGACGATAAGAAGGCCAGGAATATCACTTGGATGGATGTAGCAATATCTGTCTTATAAAGTGAAAAATCTTTGCATAGCAAGGTTATGGTCTGTCAACCCTAAAATGCACAAGTTATACGCTGTGAGGAAACTTCTTTTACACAGGAAGGGTGTACGTACATTCGAGGACTTAGGAGCTACGTCGTAAAGAGAAGGCTTTTTGCCGTACCGATTTTGTGTCGCACCAAAACTCTCTGGTCTAAATTGACACGACAGTGAGCTAGGAGGTGACGTGGAAGCATATGCATTAGTGGATGCCATAGGTTAGATTTTGAAAGAAGTGTTGAAACACATACTTTGTACATGACGTACAGGCATTGCTTAGGAGAATTTGAGTGCTTCCTAAATGTCCATGAGCTTCATGGATATAAGTCGGATCACCAACGGTGTACGTTCTGTCTCATTTTCTATGTCACGTCCGCAGTGTAGCGTGTGTTCATGTGGCCGTCACATGGTTTTTGGTCTTGATGTCATCGTAAGTGAGATACATCGTTTTCCTTTTATTGTTAGGGGAAGTGTGCTCATATCAATGGATTTTGATTGTGATGCTCCTTTTGTCTGCACTTCTGATGTATTGAGTTGGCTTAGCATTTTTGCGCTGCAAGAGTGTAAACGGGGAAGTCAGAAGGAGAATCGGAACAGCGCTTTATACGTAATGTAGTCGAGTCATTTATCTCAGTCCAAGCGGCATCTACATTCGCTCTGTTGGCGATAAGATTAGTGCATTTTCTTGAAATTTTAAACGATGTCGCATATCTGGTGTTTTTCTGGAATTCATCTTTTGCTTATTTTCAGAAGGTAGAGTCAATTCTAGCGTTTCATAGTTTTGAATTTTTGTAACTAGCTTGCAATATTCCTCGAATATTGGAACTAAATTTTTCTTATAGTAAGTATTGGATATTTAGCTACACTAGTTGCTCCGCATGTCGACGGGATTGTACCTTGTCACCGTCACACTTGCAGAAGATGATTAATTAATTTATGGAGTTCACCGGTATGTTCACTCAGTGGAGTTGGAAACGAAGGTCAAAAAATCTGTGGCGTAGATCACATTTCGTTGCAGTATTTCGGTGAGAGAAGGTAGAAAATTTGTGTTTAAAGTGTTTTCGTGGATGATGTAATTGTAACATTGCAGAGCGGTCAGCAATGGTAGCTTTGAAGCATTATCGAGCATTCTTAATCACTCACATTCATTATCCTCTTAAAGCTTCCCTTTGAATTGCTTGATTCAAATTGTTTCCTACAGTTACACTTTTTTACAATTTTTACAGTTACTCAGACAATCGCTGGGGGCAGGCGGGCACCGGAAAAAGAGATTGCTGATTTCTCGCACCCTGATCGCGGATTTTTTGGAAAGCAATCAGGACTTTTCGGAGGACCGCTCGCTGAGTCAGCGGATTTTTGAGAGACCGCCTGTTGAATTTTTTTCGCTCTTATCTTTTGCAGATATATTGCTGAATCTCTGAGAAATCGAGAACTCAGCAAGCGGTCTTCCGAAAAGTTCTGATTGCTTTCCAAAAAATCCGCGAGCGGGGTGCGAGAGATCAGCAATCTATTTTTCCGGTGCCCGCCTGCCCCCGGCGATTGTCCGAGTATGTGTGTTTCTTCCTCTTCATTGATGTTTCTTATGCTATGTGTTATTATTATCAAAAACTTATAGCACGATTGGATGTGGTTCGGAGGTTCTTAATTTTTGTTTAAGATGACTTCGAAATTTTCTATTGTCAGTATATCATTGAATTTGCTGTCTTTGGGAGATATGCAGAAGGTGTGCTATTTATTAGGTCTACCGAAAGTTCTTGCGCACGTTTTTCAAAAATTCATAACTCGTTGATTTCTGAACGAATTTGTACGATCAAAATTTTGCTTAAGAGAGAAACTCATGCTCTTGAATCTATACCTGAATTGTTCATTAATGTTCACAAATGACGGAGATAGAAGCTCAAAACCAAAATCACTCAAAATTTGAATTTTTCGTGTAGAGTCATAAAAAATCGGAAACTTGCCACAAAAATCGAAGCACTCGGTATTGTAGTTCTTTCACCAGCTCTTTTTAACAGTGCAAAGTTGAGCGTCTCTATGAAGAGTTATGATTTTCGGGCAAGCAATACAAAAGGGCGAATTTGATTTATTTTGGCATTTTTCAGGGAAATCATAACTTTTCATAGAGGCGCTCAATCGGCGCAAACTTTGCATTGTTAGAAAGGGCTGGTGAAAGAACCTACAATTCCGACTGCTTCAATTTTTGTGGCAAGTTTCCGATTTTTTATGACCCTACACGAAAAATTAAAATTTTGAATGATTTCGGTTTTGAGCTTCTATCTCCATCATTTGTGAACATTAACGAACAATTCAGGTACAGGTGCAAAGAGCATGGTTCCTCTTTTAAGCAAAATTTTGATCGTACAAATTCGTTGAGAAATCAACGAGTTATGAATTTTTGAAAATTGTGCGCAAGAACTTTCGGTACGACCTAATAGTTTTTTTTCTTTTGTCTTCTAATCTTGACTATCTTATTGAAAGAATATCTAGATCGGTCTTTCGTCATGTAGTACCCAAGTGCCGTACCAAAAAGGATGTTTTCTGCAGCGCTTGCTTCCTGATCCGTATGATAATATCACGGTGGACAAGTTCTTTTTGGATGCTTTCGTAGATTATTGCCAATCTGCGGATTTATCTAGGGTAAGAGGGTCTTCGCTTCAAATCACCCATTCATTTAGTTGTTACAGCCTCAAATAATGTTTATCGGCAAGGTGAAAGATGGAAAGGCGCGCTTCAATTGCGAATACGTGCGCCCTGTGCATAGCTTTGGAAGACGAATTTGAAACGCAGAAGCGTACCATCGGCATTGCGGCAGCGACGCGTAGTTTCGCGCGTCAGCTTCTAGGGATTTTGATTCTGCGCAGGATTTTTTGCATTGTCTAGTAAGAAGAATTGCTATCAGAGCCTTTTTCTAGTTTTAATACGTGGCATCAATAACTTGGTGCGATTTACCTACAGCTTGTGAATTGCTGTCGTGATCCGTTTCGATCACTTGCTGAAGTGCTCAATACAACTTGTTTTGAGTGCTTTTTTGTAACGAATGCTTTCTTCTTCTACTTGCCTAATTGCATGCTTTGCACTAACAACCGCTTTGCTTCTTCCGCACAATCTTTATATTTCTGAATATAATCTTTATTTCATTTTTCATTTAGGAGACAGATGAAAAGGTGAGAGCCTATTGGGCTCATCTTATTGAGATTTACTCTAATGTCCTAAACGGGACTGATTGTTTCTTGAGACACCGATGAATTAAAGTGATCTATGAAAAGTTCTGCACTAACTATTAGGTTGGTGCAACAGTTCTGTCGTTTCATTTTTGAAAATTCATCACTTTGCGCTGTCACAACGGATTTACTTCCTTATTTTTTATTAGAAAGAGTAAATCTTTCGCTTTCGAATGCCGTTTTGATGAGCTTGCACTTCACACTGGGTGCGGAGATAAAAATGGAAAACTAAGACCATATAAGCTTTGACAATTTTAAGTTAGGTCACCAAAAATCGGGAACGCTGCAGAAATATCTGAAATCGTCAGTACATATGTTTTTTGGCCAACCCTTTGTATCTGTGAAAAGTTTGTGC